GGGGGGGGGGGGGGGTAGGAGGGGTTGAAGAATTTCCTTTATTAAGTTTCTTGTTTCCTAACATCAATGCAGATCAATTTTCTATTAGGCATGCTATTTCTATTATAATGCTATTTAATGTTAAGGCCGTCATCCTCAGAAATATGCAGGCAGTTTGTTCATCTGCCAAGCATGACTTTATTCAATGAACTAGAACTAAAGTGGTATATCAAAGAATGACACAAATCTAACTTAATATATGCCATATGCAAAATTTGACATTTTATAGTGCAGTACATTGAGATGGTGGTGTCATTTAAATTAAGCAGCACATTTCTTAGGCTACTGCAGGAAGCCAAGACTTTAGTTCAAATGTATGAATCTATACTATAAACTTTAATGCTTTTAAAAAATAATATGAACATTTATTTTCCAGCAAAGCCAACAAGAAACTGTCTGACTTCCCAGTCATTTCACCCAATACGTGCTTTCCTGTAAAAATATTTTATAGTATTTTATACAGCATCCCTTGTGTTTGCTGGGCCAGTCCAGTGGACTCTCCTGCCCAATGTCCTGTTTTGCAACATGTTTGTTATGAAATATGCCATTAGCAGAGGCACCATGCATTTTGTCAGCGTAATATGAGCAAACAGAATACGTATATGACTTCTTTGGTGAAAAAGGGCAGTAATACCACTAGCACTACAGTGACCCACAAGCTTACATATCCTGCTCAGATCTGTGCATCAGCAGCTTACTCTGGGGTTTCAACTCAAAATCTCTTTGTATTGTAGAAAAAAAAAAAAGGCAAAGACCACATAATGAAGTCCACAAGCTAAATCAACCACTCTTAATTTTTACCAAATTGTGCTATACAACTTGACTAAAAATAGTGGCTAAGTATGAAGCTTATCACAAAGTGCCAGGAGGTCCAGCCTTCTTCTGTTATTTTGTAATCCAAATTTTGTTTAGCAAGAAAACAAAATAAATACAATAGGCTTCTCTGAAACCCAAACCCTTCTGCACAGACTTCTCCCTAAGCAAGAGCCCAATAAGTGATGCAACAACTCACAGGGCTAGGCGTCACCAAGGGCAAGACTGTGTCCCTTGGTTTCATATTTTAAAGGCTTCCATTGAGAATGATCATGCGCCTCCAACTTTAATAACTCTGAAAAGAGTTGTTCCTCAGTCATCAAGACTGTTGAGAAACGTAGCTCTTGTAAGGCTTGCTAAACTGGGCTTAAGTCTGCTTACCTGTCCAAATGTTACGCTACTGTGAACATTTCTTGTTGAATGTAATTTTTTAATCAGCAGGATGCTAAAATATGCACATGGAGGCTAAAGAAAGATTTTGAGAATGTACAATTGTCTCTTCTCCAACATCAAACCACAAGTAGCCAGAACAATCAAGTGATCATGCAATGGAAGAAATGGTCCCATTCCTCAGGCTCCTGTTGAGTCCCGTGTGATTTCAGGAAAGGTCTTATTCAATAAGAACTTCTGCCCAAGGAATGGAATAGACAGGGATGAGTTATCTATATCACTGTGCAAGGTGATCATGGGGATTTTATCAATCATGGGTTTTCAGACTGGGCCCAACTTCCTTTTTTTATGGGTTCATGCATCAGACTGTACCTTAACATAAAACGCTCATCCTTTTACGTCCTCCAAGTTCCTCTCAACCCCAAATCAGTAAGACTCACAATGTTCCCAACCATCCCACATCCTTTGCACCCTCTCCATTCCTTTCATTCCCACCACTAAGAATGTTTACCGACTTTTATAGCGTAATTTTTTAAAAAGTAGTTACGGGAGAAAATGTCCTTTTAAGAAGACATATCTGAAGACAATGAAGATTGTCATATATCACTGATGAGGTGGAATCAACACCTACCCTCTTCCAGGAACTAAGAGCTTAAGATAGTGGGGAGACCTGATGACTGCACTTTTAAGGCAGCTTTATGTCAGAAGTAGTGACCTTGGATGAGTGAGTCTACAAGGGGGAGGCAGTGGAGCTGATAGCAAAAGTAATGGAGGTTCAGTGCACGAGAAGAATGCAAACAAAGGTTAACCGGGTAGATGGAAGGTTTCTCATACAGAGTTGGAAAAGGGGAAGGGGCCTGGAATAAAGGAAGAAACCAGAGGTAATGAGGAGGACAAGGGGAAGGAGAAGGGTCTTGGTTCAAGCTCTATCACTGCTCTTCCCAAAGCAGAGCCATTCCCCATCATATTCATCACTGATAACAAATATTTAATTAAGAAGCAGGAAAAAAAATCAGCCACAGTACCCAAGAAGGTCCTGTCAATACATTCCTCGTTGGGCAGGGTGAGGATGGGTGGCACCAGACAGACTCACCAGCCACAGATGGATAGAGACAATAGCAGCACTGACACAAGACAGGCGTGGAGCTGGGTGTGTGTGCCCTCCCACCCCTCCCTCCCCCTTACCCACAGTCAAGGCAGCATCAGCACCAGCACAAGACAGCCGAGAGCTGGATGTGTAGGTCTTTCCTTCCCTTCCTCCCTCGCCTCAGTTGTGGCAGCGTCAGTCCTTCTTTGGGGAGAGTTGAGGAGCGCCTTCTCTGCCCCATGGCCAGGTATGGTTCAGTGCTGCATGGCCCCTGCATGGTTTTGGTCAGGTGGCTCCAACTTCTGGGAGCTGTTCTCCTTTGGACCAGCATCTCCTGCTTTAGACTGCGCCTTCCCCTGCAGACCTTTCTTGTGACCTCGGATACAATGGGCATTGCCACAGCCTTCATCATCCTCATCTTCACTTTCTGTTGAGCTCTCACCAAAGGCCCGTGGCTTCTCGTAGATGCAGCAGCCTGTGTTAAGAGGAGGGAAGAAGTGGGAAGGAATGGCAGGAAGGTAAGTAAGGTAAAAAGGGGTCAGAGGTAATACATTGAGGACATGAAAGCAAAAAGCAAAACAAAAAAACAAAAGGAGAATAAAGAGATGCGAAGAGATTGTGAATGAGGAAGAAAGTAAGTGTTGATATGGCAAGTGGGAAAGTGTTTAATAAAAGGCAGAACAGGCGAAGCATATAAAGTGGAAATATTGAGTGCAGGAAGACAAGGAATAGAAGGGAAATGGCAGACAGTGAAGGAAGAACAGAAGGAAGGAAGAAAACATTAGAGAGAGAAGCACAGAAACAGAATCATTCAATAGCAATGACAGCAATGGAAGATTAAATGAAGGAATAGTTACCTGTCCATTTTATCTACCAGCAATTCTCACTTTTGGAAAATGAAAGGACTATACAGACTTTCTTCAAACTCAGAACATTTTTCTCTGTACAATATGAATCTATAGGGATCAGATCAGCATAACCAGGAGCAAGTAATTCACCTTTCTGACACGTGGATCCCAAGATGGAAGAGATACAGCAAGTTCTTAGCCTCTTAATACCCAACCCATCAAGCAGAAGCAAAAACTCTACATGATGGGGAGAATTATGTGTCAATTCTTCTTGCTCCTCATATACTTGGACAGGGAACCACAGGGAGTAATTAGGAATGGGACAAATAGCATTTCTCCAGTCAATTCAGCTATTGTTATAGTAATATCTCTATCCTCCTGTGATCATCTCAAGGTGCCTTCTCATCAACTTCTAGTAAGTACTGCTGAGTATCTAGGATTAATTGGGGCAATTGGTATCCTCTCCAGGCTAAAATGGCATAAGCAACCCAGTGGCTCCAAAACTTATCATTTCCAATTGAAATTTGAGGTTATATTCTAAATATTATCAGGAAACAACCATGGGACTTGTCCATTATAGGAAGTTGCTCCCTGTAAAGGACCAATGGAGCGGGCCAGCATACGTGATCATACAGGACTCCACATATTTTTCCAGGAATTATTCCCCTATATCCGCTAGTTTGTCAGAACACTCTGGAATCTGATCTCATTACCTACGCTTATGTTCTGATATATTTGAAGATGAGCAGTCTATCTTCGAAGATTCAAATGGCCTTTAAGAATACTTGAGAGTAACCCTGAAGTCAAAAATCTACATGTACACATCTCTGGAGAAATTAAGGGATTAAAAAATGTAAAAATAATAAACAGTTAGCCTCAGTTAATTAGTCTACAAACTATATCAGATTGGTTAAGTGGTTAGGAATGTTTCCAGTTTCTCTTCTGCTGTAGTTACCCAGTTCTGGCTATCTAGTTTCCAGAGGCTATTGTGCATTTGCATACAGAAGCACATACAGGTAGTCCTCATTTAGCAACCACAACTGGGACCGGTAACTTGGTTGTTAAGTGACGCAGTTGCTAAGTTAAATCATGACAATGCTTATCATCTTACTTCAGCTTTCCTTTGCTTTAAAGACCTGAGAAGGTTGTAAATGTGAGGATTGGTCGTAAAGTTACTTTTAAATCACTGTTGTAACTGTGAATGGTTGCTAAACAAGTCAGTCACTAGTACCTAAGGAATCAAGCAAACTTTGGTGGCATGCAGTTTATAGATAGTATGCTGGAGACTCAGCTAGCAGGTTTGATCACTTATACAATCAATCCACCCTGGATGATACACTCACATTGGGAGAGATACAAACAAAGGGGAAGAATCTTAAATAACAATGGTAGAGAAGGGCATTGCTCACATTTGGAAGATCTCCGTCCCAAGTGTTCATTGTCCACTGTGTCACTTGACCATTCTACCTTCTTAGATGGTTTTCGTTTCCTTAATTTGATAGTGAGACTACGATTTTCCTAGGAAGAGAACAGAAGGGAAGAGGGCTTGATTTATAAATAATCAAGGAATATCTCATTCAATATACAACTGCTTGATTTTCAATTCTGCTGTTCCTGGGGAATACTTCCTACATACCTGTACCTGAATAAAAACCTCTTTATTTTTGCCAATAAATACAACTCCAGAGAATTCTGAGGGCAAGTTCAAAGTTTGATTGCTGCCATTTTTCTGATCAAGCCCCACCCATACCACAATATCTTATGCCATTCTCACTCACAGAGACAAGAGAAAGAAGCCTCTCATTATATGTTGAGACAATTACCAGATTCTATATTTTAATGGGTTCTTGGCAGAAATATGAGCTGTCCATAGACATTGATAGAGAACCCAAGACTTAATTGAATTCTACATAAGAGCTCTTAGGTTTTATGGGTCAAACTTCTTTTATTTACACCAGTGTGAAGAGTACTAATAGGAGAACATTTAAATGGGCAGCACTGTTTCAACACAGTGTGGTACATTAATATATTTTGTATTATATCCACTAACAATCACATCAAGGCATTTAGCATAATGCTTCTTCCTAACCAGAGCTATTTTAATATAGAGAAAATTGAAATTACATAGATAATACTTGATATATGATACTTTTACCTTATTCACCAGTAGTCTATCAAATCATCCATGATTTTGAAAATACTGCCCTGCTATCATTTGAGCTTCATAGGGTAAATTTTGTATATGCTAAGTTATGGGCTTTTATATTATGTCTTTGCTGACACTTTTTAGGGATTTTACAAAAAGTAAGAAAAAATACTATTAAAACTCAACAGATGATTTCCTTAAGTATGAGAGAGATTTGGAAAAACTACCCCTCTTTAGTCTTTTGAAGAAGGAAATAAAAAAAAACTTTAAAAACAAGGTAGCTAAGATTTTCTCTTCTTAAAAAAAGAAAAAGAAAAATAAGTTTTGTTTCTGCAACTCAGCCTCATGGGAGTAACACTACATCATAATCAAGAAGTGTTTACAGTATTATTCTAAAAAAAAAAAAATGGTTACAGGATTTCTCCCACTCCAAATCAAATGTCCTAAGGAATCCTGCTAATGTTGTGACATAATATAATCCCATGGGGCATTTTGTTTTATGAATGCAGCTTATGAATGACACTTTCAGTGAGGCTAAATTCGGCTTCTTTAGCTTGTTTCTTTAAAAAGGAAGGGAAAGAACACCTCTCATGTTGTTTTAAAAACTTAATTTGGAAACTATTTAAATTGCCAAAAAAGTCATTAAATGTTACCACTTATTTTATAGGCAAATGGAGAAATTATAGTATCCGGCTCAATTTCAGCTGGAGACAGAACCACACATTAGCACTAGAACAGAAACCAAAAGCCAGCAGATTGGTTTATTATGTTAGGAGTTTCTCATGGGAAGAAATTCATCTCGTTATCTTTACAACAATATTATGTCTACGCTGGAGACAGAACCACACATTAGCACTAGAACAGAAACCAAAAGCCAGCAGATTGGTTTATTATGTTAGGAGTTTCTCATGGGAAGAAATTCATCTCGTTATCTTTACAACAATATTATGTCTACGTGGATCATGTGAACATTTTGTAATTGTGTGTTATGCACGTATACTGCTATTTACTGCCACCTATTGGTATGTGTATGTAGTTATTCAAGGAGTGGCAATATAATGGGAGGATTATATGCCCAGCCTCTCAGTACAGTGTCAGCCACCATGTAGGTAGTTTTATGGGTTATGTAGTTGTAACTAATTACCAAGTAGTGTATCTCTTCTCTGAGAGTTTTTGGCTAGACACTTTGTTAAGCTTGTGTTGTTGATAAGTCTTGGATGCTAAAATACATGAGAAGATGTGTTTTTTCCTATATTTTGTATGTAACTTGTATTTTATGGAGTTTTGCATTTTTATCAATAAACAACCAGTTAGTATATATTTTCTGACTGGATTTCTTTGGGAAAGAAGAAATGGACATTGCATTTTAAAATTTCTCATGCTGATGTGTTTTTTTTTTCTGGGCACACTTTCCTGGAAATATTGCTGCACTCTGCACAACAGGAGTATTGTTGCACTCTGCTCAACATATTACTATACATCTATGGACATTTTTTGATAGTCAGAAGTGATGCTGTTAGGCTAAAATGGACATTCTTTTCAAATAACCCTGACAAAATTGTGGGTGAACTTCAACAAGAAATCATTGTTGGACCTACCGTTGCAACAATAGAGTCCATAATTCAATGACTGGACTAGGAAAAGGAATGTATATACACATATGTATAATGTTCATTCATCCTTAAGAATGTATTTCATTCGTCCTTAAGAATATTTTCATAAAAGAGATAAAGCTTAAAACAGCAAAAAACAACAGAGAGGATGACTAGAATGTTTTATGATACAATACAGTATGAGTGTGTAGCATGATTTTGAGGCTAAAAATCCATTAAAACTGTAGCATACACTCTAAAATTGACATTGCAGTTTCCACCTAATTAAAATTAGGAAAATTCCAGTATTATCCATGTGAATGATACAGCTGCATCCACTCTGCATCACTGCCACACCCATTGTGGCTCTAGCCCCCTCTCTAAAAAAATGTTAATGGTGATTTTTGGGTACCTCAAGATCACCCACCCTGCTTTAGCTGGACACAGCTTCCCCTTGAATGTTAGTTGTTTTTTTTAAATTATTTTAGCCAGGTGGCTCTCATGTAGGAATTTTGTATATTTTGTATTCAAGCCTGGTGACTAAAATTCATACCATGAAGAACATTCACCTATCTACTTGCAGCTGGCTTTGCTAAACTGTTTATTAATTTTGTTGCATACACTTATTTTTAAACATAATGTGTGCATAATATATTAGAGCAGCAGGTATGATAACCCTGCAAAACAAAAAAATAACTCCACTGAGTAATCATTACAAGCAATGACAATGGTAGCAGACAAGCAGCCTGACTACTGAATTCTTTTCTATATGATCTACCATGAAAAAATCCTTAATGGTGCAGTCTTTCTATAGTTCATGGAATCATTTTTGGGACAATTCCCCACTCTGAGATGCATGCCAGAGCATTCCATTCTTTATTCCACATTTTCTTAACCTCATACCATCTTGAAATGTTGGACTTGCAATTAATATCTTCCTCACCTACCATAATTGACAAAGCTTTGGGGGATTACCATGAGTTGTTGTCCAACACATCTGAGGGGCACTGTGTTGGGGAAGGCCATTTTATTCCAACAATGGCTTATGAGAGGTGGGCTTAGGTACAATAATAATTTGAAGTGCAATAACAACCTTATTCTATTAAATATCATATACTGTATTTTACAAGTGTGCTATAGTTACCAAAATGTTCATTTGGCTCCTACAAATGAGTAAGTATTACCATCACTAGAAAGCTAGTGTGATTCATCTAGTGTAATCATCAGAGTACAGACAAGGAATGGCCACACCAAGTTAAAATCTGTACTAATCCAAAAAGATCTTTAGGTGATCATGAGCCAATTTCTCTCAGCCTCTTGAAATATTCAGGGTAGCAGTAAAGATCAAATGAGTAATGAGGACTCTTTGAAGACAGCGGATAAGTGTAAAAAAAATAATAAAATACTGCATCCCTAAAAAAATTGATTTAGATCGCATCAGCAACACTAATCGATCATACCAAAGGTCTAGCTCCTGATCAGTATGCCTGCACACATACGCTTGGAGATTCGGTTCATAAGGAATTCAACTGAATCTCTGAATTATGTTTCTAAATTCAAGCAACAACCTGATCAAACTGTCATACTGAATCGGAGAACTTCAAATCAATCTGATTTATTTTGGACGCCTTTGGCGCATATGCATTCTTAGCTTCTGAAGTATTCAAACTTGTCTACCTAATTCAGGTGACTTTATTCTGAGAAAGAAGTCTTGATTTCCAAATCTACTCAATAATGCGAATCGAATTAAAAGATTCAAACCGGGCAGGGCTCAATTCGCATAGACCGATTGATCAGGCCCTGATTCCCACCTCAGCGAGAGGTTTCCAGGAATTACGGCAGCCTTGGCTTCCTCCCACCCTCAAAGACATCTGGCATCCAGATGTTCTTCGGTCTCGGAGAGGAGACCCTCAGCTTAGCGAGCCAGTACCTGACAAAAGACCTGTGCTCCGCTACTTAAAGCCATCGGCCATCAAGTTATCACAAGCCTTTCCTTCCATCACAAGCCAGCTCGCCGCAGCCGCGCGGCCCTTCTCGCGACCACCGAAGTCCCCGCTCCGTGGTTGCCACGACAACCGCAGGCGCCGCGGCTCCGCGGGCGGGGCTCCTTCCTCTCCACCGTCATCATCGTTGCCATGCCGCCGGCTGCACCCCCAGCCCTCCCCCCGCCCGCGCCTCTCCTCACCGGCTCAGTCACCTCCGTCTCGGTGACGGTTGTGGTCGCTCCCACGCCAGAGGTCGACTCGGCCATCCTGGAGCGATGCGGGACCCCGCCCGCGGTGGAGCTGCTTGCAGGAGGGAAGAGTATCCGCGGAGCCCCGACCCAGAGCTCGCCCGGGCCCTCCCCAGCCTCCGGTCAGCTCCCGGCGCCTGTTCAGCCGCGGCACCCACCCTCACGGTGCGGTCGGCGCCTCTCCCTCCCCGCCGCCGGAGGCGGGGAAGGGCCCACGCCGGCCCCTGCCGC